GGGAATTTTGCTCGTTCATTCTCGTGAGTGTTTACATTCCTCCGCAAGCGCACGTGAGCCTGGCTTTACAGAAACTCGCTGATCTGATCACAGAGACAGAGCAACAACACCCGGACTCTGTTTTAATCATTTAATCATTAACTTTCCAGTGAACTGCCAAAATACAGACAGTATGTTACATGTCCCACCAGAATCAGAATCAGAATCAGAATCAGAAGAGCTTTATTACCAAGTATGTTTACACACACAAGGAATTTGACTTGTATTTTGGCAGTTCACGGGAGAGATTTGATTTGTTAAAATTTCCAAGAATGATTAAAAATAGAGAGACAGTAATATACTGGATCACTGTTACACCCCAATAAAGAATGCATATCACTCTGTCCCACTGGCAGCTTTGGGGCTCTCTGATCACTGTTTGGTTCATCTTATACCGACCTACAGGCAGAAACTGAAATCAGCTAAAGAAGCAGAGCTGGATTTACAAGCCTCACTGATTGGAGGGTTTTTGAAGCCGCTGCCATCGATCTGGACGAGCTTACAGAGACTGTGACATCATATATCAGTTTCTGTGAAGACATGTGCATTCCAACCAGGACTCATTTAACCTACAACAACGACAAACCATGGTTCACTGCAAAACTCAGACAGCTCCGTCAGGCCAAAGAAGATGCTTACAGGAAGGGGGTAAATGTCTTGTATAAACAGGCCAAATACACACTAGAAAAGGAGATCAGAGTGGCAAAGAGGAATTATTCTGGAAAGCTAAGGAATCAGTTCTCTTCCAGTGACCCTGCTTCAGTGTGGAAAGGTCTGAAAGACATCACCAATTACAAGATACCATCTCCCAGCACTGTGGAGAATCAACAACTGGTAGACGATCTGAATGAGCTCTATTGCAGGTTTGAAAAAACACCATTCACACCTCCGGCAACCCCCCTCTCCCCCCTCCAGCACTCCAGATCAGTGAAGATGATGTGTGTCAGGTCTTCAGAAAGAACAAGAGAAGAAAGGCACCAAGCCCAGATGGTGTGACACCAGCCTGTCTGAAATCCTGTGCTGACCAGCTGGCCCCCATCTTCACACAGATCACTGGAACTGTGCGAAGTCCCCTCTTGCTTCAAACGCTCCACCATCATCCCCGTCCCAAATAAACCCAAAATGAATGGACTTAATGACTACAGACCTGTGGCTCTAACGTCTGTGGCCAACTTCCTGACAGAAAGGCAGCAGCTAGTGAGGCTAGGAAAATTCTCATCCAGCACCCGTACGATCAGCACTGGTGCCCCCAAGGGTTTTGTTCTCTCCCCACTGCTCTTCTCCCTCTACACCAATGACTGCACTTCTAAAGAACTTTGTCCTAATTGTATGGCTGCTTTTTCTGATTTTTATATTGCTCTGTTCTGAATACCTTAAAATGTATGATGGATGATATGTGAATTATTTATTAGCCTATTTTTTTTTACCCATGCAGCAAATGCTTTAAAAACACCTTTAAAATACTTTATTGCATTCCAGACGCTTTTAAAGTACTTTTCACTACAAATTTTACGGGTAGCTTGAATGTAAGCCTACCTTTGCCTAATGGGTAAGTCCGCCCTTGATTCCTCTGTCGTACCATAAATCCTCTAAATATTCGGTAACACTTTAGTATAGGGACCAGTTCTCACTATTAACTAGTTGCTTATTAGCATGCCTATTATTAACATATTGGCTGTTTATTAGTGCTTATGAGCAGGGGCGCTTCAACAGGCTGAAACCCAGGGGCCTACACTGGGAAGGGGGCCCACTGGCTGCAAGGAAATTTAATTTTTTCGAATAATTATTTGAATATATGGGAATTTGCAGCAGTGACAACAGCATTTTGTAAACAAACTCACACACTCATTTTCAGCGATGCCCTGGTTGTAGTTTATAGTGAATGGTTCCCCCACACAGTTTGTATAGTTGGTACGTTCCATGTATTCCACCGATATACTAGCGGAATACACAATGCATGCGCTAGTAAAGCCCAGCACAAGAGTTTCTTTATGTTAACGTGCAGATCAACAAGAAACACAACACTACTGTGTGAAAGGAGCTGGACCGGACAACTTTCTGTAACGTAATACAGTGCGAGTTTAGTGACTTGCTTGGATGTAATCTGTGTGTCAGCTGAAGGTTTTAGATTCAGTCACTGTGTTCCAACATGCTGCTTCAGAGTCAGAGCTACTGTAACGCTGCAGCCCAGGGGCCTCTGGTTATCTATTAAGGCGCCCCTGCTTATGAGGCACATATTCTGTATGACCATATTCTACATCACTAGTCCTACCCAATACCTGAACTTAACAACTACCTTATTATTAACTATTAATAAACAGCAAATTAGGAGTTTATTGAGGCAAAAGTCAAAGTAAATGGTTTGATAAAAGCCAGAATTGGACCTTCAAATAAAATGTGGCCTAACTGATAGTAGCAGTGAAGCTTGCCTCAGTATACCGCTCTAAAAGAGAATAAAGATCACAAAGAATTCAGGATGAAAACCAAACTGCACGCATGCGTCTGCTAATAGAAGCTCCACTGTATGGCATTTTGAAAAAAAGGTGTTATTTTCTAGCTTTCCTGGATGTCGCCCGCATCTGGAGGACAAACCTTTGATCACACATAGACCCAGACGATACCTAATGAATTCTTCTCTGGCACCAATTCATCATCTCTCTCTCTCTTTAATCTTTGAGATAGCACTTTAAAAGGTTGAAAAAAACATGATCGCGCCCCAAGGTCTTCCAGCGATATGAAATCTAAGCACTACGCACATCCTCAAAAGCATATGATCATCCGTTTCGTGACAGAT